CCAAACCCTCTAAACCCTCAAAACGCTGCATACCCCCTAAACCCCCCAGATGCCAAAGCCTCTAAGCCCTCTAAACCCTCTAGTTAGGGTTTAGGGTTTAGGGTTTAGGGTTTAGGGTTTAGGGTTTAGGGTTTAGGGTTTAGGGTTTAGGGTTTAGGGTTTAGGGTTTAGGGTTTAGGGTTTAGGGTTAGGGTTTAGGGTTTAGGGTTTTTAGGGTTTAGGGTTTGGGGTTTAGGGTGTAACGCAGCAGGCAATTCGGGGCCCTGGAACACTTGCAAGTCTCAAGCGGGAGCACCAACCCTTCTAAAGGCAGCTACATGGTCCCTTAGAATAAGCCCTTGAAAGGGGGCCTTGCTTCTACCCTTATATACCCTATGCAAATTCAGGGGGCCCAGACATCAGAAGAATTTTAAAGGAGTTTTTTGGACCATCCTAAGGGCCCATATATAAGACTACCCTCAGAATGCCACAGCACCAGGGCTTACCCTCGCGCTGCTAGAACAGAAGGCCCCAAAGCCTAACCCGAAACCCGAAACCCGAAACCCTAAACCCGAAACCCTAAACCCTAAACCCCGAACAAACCCCCACTAATTCGCTTAAACTCTGGGTGCAAGTAGGGGCTACTTAAAGCCTCAGGTCTCTACAGGGACATTTCAGGCTTGGGAGGGCCTCTAGCTAAGGGCTCCAATGTAGTACCTGTTAGGGTGGTACACTACAAGCCCTACGGCAAACAGGCACTATCCCTCCCACGAAGGCCCTAAACACTACATAAACGAGGGTTTAGGGTTTAAGGTTTAGGGTCTAGGGTCTAGGGTTTAGGGGTTGAGGCTTGCGCACAGCATCCAGGTCCAGGTGGTTCGTTGGCTCATCCTTATGCGGGAGGAAGGTTTTCTAGGGCTCAAAAAAAGGGGCCTGAATAATTAGAATAGGGTTTAGGGTTTAGGGTTTGGGGCTCAGGGTTTAGGGTTTGGGGCTTAGGGTTTAGGGTTTAGGGTTAGGGTCTAGGCTTTAGGGTTTAGGCTTTAGGGTTTAGGCTTTAGGGTTTACCGAACAATTGAATCGGGTTTTGGGGGGTATTATGGTATAATTACAAAGGGACCATACGGGAAGACTTTCAGGAATTATTCCGACCCCTTTATCATTTCAGGGCTTTCAGGGTGCGGTGCGTCTGTGTGTGCGCGCGCGCGTGCGCATCTCTCTCTCTCTCTCCCTCTCGCTCTCTGTCGCTCGCTGTGTCTACTGGGCTTGTTCAAACCCATGCAAACCCTAAGCCCGCAAGCCTCAATGTCAACCCTTCACATGGCCTCAACCCTGCTTCGTGCTTCGTGAGGGTCTACAAAGTCGCCCAAGGAGGTTTATGGATCAGGGCCTAAGATTTAAGAGGTTTCCTGGAAAATGAATATCTGACTACAGGGAATTCTTGATCAACGCCATCATTTCGTAGGGTTTAGGGTTTAGGGTTTAGGGTTTAGGGTTTAGGGTTTAGGGTTTAGGGTTTAGGGGCGGGGCGGGGGGTTGACGGCCGGGTTGCTTGCTTGGAGGGGCTGGGGTAGGATGGTGTGTCCTGTCTAGGGTTTCACAGATGAGGGTTTCAGTAAGGTGGTTCAGAGTTTAGGGTTGCAGGGTTTAGTTTTCAGGGGTGGGGGTGATCCAGAGATAGAGGTTCAAGATATGCAGGTTTTGAGTCAGGATGGTGGAGGGATTCGTCTCGGAAAATGCAAAATGGCTTTGCAGGGACAAGTCGGAGAAGGCTTACATGGAACAGGCCTTTTGAGCCCTGAACCCCCCAAATCCGTGAACCTAGTAGCCGAAACCGCCTAACCCTAAACCCTACCCCGTATACACCCTAAACCCCACCGTGAAACCCAAACTTTAACCCTGAACCCTAATCCCTAAACCCGCGTCTGAGACCTTGCGCGCGGGGCGGGGGGGGGGGGTCGGAATCTGGGCCCCGCTGCCAGCAGAAGCAGGTCAGGCCTCGTAGGCTGGCAGCTTGGAGGGAGGTTTAGGGTTTAGGGTTTAGGGTTTAGGGTTTAGGGTTTAGGGTTCAGGGTTTAGGGTTTAGGGTTTAGGGTTTAGGGTTTAGGGTTTAGGGTCACCCCTTACTACGGTTGCTTTAGTTGCCAGGACCTAAGCCGATCTAGGAGCGTCAGAAATCTTCTGAGGACCCCAATGTTTCGGAGAACCATGAGGGGATTAGGGTTATAGGGGTTTAGGGTATATACATCAAGGGGGATATGAGGTCCCGAATACTTCCTCATTCCTTACTAAGAACCAGTAAGTTTGGTGCATATGCAGCAGCATGGAGTTCGACGGAGAAGTGTTTCGGCTTTTGGAAAAAATCTGGGTGTTTAGGGTTCAGGGTTTAGGGTTTAGGGTTTGACCATCAAGTCATCGGTGAACCGATTCCCGCACTTGTCGCACTGGCCTCCGCACTTCATCCTTCCCGCGCTGCAGTGGACTAGGTCGTGCGCGATGGCCATAGAATTCAGAGCTGCAGATATCATCGTCCCCACACCAACGGATCCATGACGATTGCTGTTGCATCACAGGAGCAAAGCCAGCTTCCAGCTCGTTTTTCCTGGCTCGGTCGATCACACAGCAGATGTCGGTGAGGATGCTTTTCAGGTTACCTGCGCTTAGCAGCTCAAATGGCATAATCTCCGACCACCTTACAGTCCCCCAAATCAACAACAAACCCTGCACCAAAACACCCGGTTGTAGGGGTTTAGGGCTAGTAGGTCCAAGGCTGTGGTGTTGAGGGCTTACTAGTGTTGGGTCATTCCAACTTTCGGGGTATTCAGGGCTTGGGGTATGAAGGGGTGTACCGGAAGACCGTGTTCTGGAATCAAGGTTGAGGGTCGAGGGCGGTGTGTGTTTACTTAGGGGCTGTAAGCCGCAAAGCACAAAGCCTCTGTAGCCACCAAGCCCCTCTGAACCCTGTGAAACCTCTGAACCCTCTGAACCCTAAACCCTAAAGCCTGCACCCGAAACCCCTAACCCGAAACCCTAAACCCTAGACCCTAAACCCCAAACCCTACGCTTCCTAGCCGTGCTGGGCTTCCCAACTCAAGGAAAAGCGCTTTGGCAAGCGACACACCTGCAGCTTTCGCGGGCTTTGGGCTTCAGCGTTCTACGGCTTTGAGGGTTTAGTGTTTTGGCGTTGAGGCCCTAAACCCTAAACCCTAAACCCTAAGTTGCGAGGGCTCAAGACCTCTGAATGCAACTGAAACCTGCCAACTGTGAGGAATCCGGCCAGCACCTGGGTCCAGGAGGCCCCTCAAGACCCCTTTCAACCCTAAACCCTAAACCCTAAATCCCCCCCGCGCCCACTTAGGAGGGGTTCTGATCAGCCCGAAAGTTTGCGGGCGCCCTACACCCTAAAACCCTAAACCCTAACTAAACCCTAAACCCTAAACCTCATTCTCGGGTTTAGGGTTTAGAGTTTCCTGCAAGTTGGGCTTCGAAGCTCCCTCGCCTGCCGACTTCGGTGCGTTGGCCCTGCTCGTCGGCTTCGAACTCACCCAGTTCAGGGTGTAGGGTGTAGGGCTTAGCCCTAAACTAACCCTAAACCCTAAACCCTTTAGGGCGGTGTTGAACTATTTGGTTTGGGGACCTTTGCTAATTTGTAGAAGGCTGTCGGGTCATGATGGACTGGTTTGGGGGTTAGGGCTGAGGCTGGAGGAGTCACTTCTCTCTTGGCGTCGTTTCTGAGGCATAGGGGCTTCTGGGGCTCGGATTTACCTGCCTTCCAAACATCCCTAAACCCTAAACCCTAAACCCAGACAAAAAAAAAAAAAAAAAAAAAAAAAAATAAACCCGTAAATGTCCGATTATAAGCCCTATGCTGATGTTCAGACCAAGTGATGTAACGTCTGAGCTCAGGGCGCATCCGCCATCCGCCCGACCTCAGCAAGTACAGCAAGACGCCGAACGAAGTCCTAAACACTAGGGTGGTAGAGGCTTAGGGTTTAGGCCTAGGGTTTAGGGTTTATGGACTTCTCGGTAGTTGTCGGGATGTTCCCCCTATACTAACAGTCCTTAACAGGGATTATCGTAGGGGGTATTAGAATCCATATTAAGGACTAGTAGTATAAGGGGGAACATCCCGACCGAGGTAGTTGCCTTTTAAGGGGTTCTTAGCCCATGCTCCAACCCTTCAAAGGAAAACTTGTTTATGCTTAGGCTTCAGGGATTCGGGTTGCGTTGGGCTCTGTGGGGTATACCGGAAAATAGACATGCAGCTATATGCAAGCTTGCTTGGACGTGTTGGTGTTAGCCTGCTGGTCCTTCAGAGTTCAAAACGCCCCATGCACAATCCTCAAGCTATAAATGTCTGTGTAGAAGGCTCTTAGGGTAGTTGCAGGGTCCCTTGATAAAAACCCTCAATTGGGGAAACCTTCTACACCAGTTCTATTCCCAGAACCCATGGGCTCATACGTCAGCACCCTTTAAAGAAGGCTTAGGGTTTAGGGTTTAGGGTTTAGGGTTTAGGGTTTAGGGTTTAGGGCTTGGGGTTTAGGGTTTAGGGTTTAGGGTTTAGGGTTTAGGGTTTAGGGTTTAGGGTTTAGGGCTTGGGGTTTAGGGTTTAGGGTTTAGGGCTAGGGGGTAGTGTTTAGGGTAAAAGCCATCGAAGTTGCAGTACGTTGACAGGCCCATCGATCATCGCCTGGGTGGCGGCTGCAGCTTTACGTACTTGGGGGCTTCGCAAAGTTTAGGGTTTATAGGGATAATAAGGGGGTTTAGGGTTTGGGGTTTAGGGTTTAGGGGTTCCTACCCGGACCCAAGAGCAACCTAGAATACACGGGGGACCCCTTTTGGGTTTTAAGGGGCTGATGAGGGAATCCCCTACACAGAGGGGAAGAAGAGCCCACTCATTTAGGGGTTCTACCTTGGACCCTTAAGGTTGCACCCTTGGGTTTGGGGGGTCCCCTTTTTTAGGATCCCTGAGGGAATATATGGGAACCTTTAAGGGCACAACCTTAGGGGTGCGAGTCTTCATCCCTTGAACTCCGGGTCCTTGCTACAATTTCGAGTACATCGGCTTGGGGGCTACAGGGAATCCCTTATTTTGGGAGACGCCCACTGCGATTTCTGGCTTTGGCTTTTTGTCATATCGGCCCCGAACAGATTCTTAGACCTCAACCCTAAACCCTGAACCCTGAACCCTAAACCCTAAACCCTAAACCTCAGACCCTAAACCCTAAACCCTAAGGTCTTAAAGGCAGGTTGCGCTCCTGAGTTCGGAATTTCAGTACTGTCAAGCCTTGAGTGTCACCAAAGCCCCGATTTTCCCCAGAGCAACGTGGGTCACTACAGGCAGAGGGTACCATGATTTCGGGTTTAGGGTTTAGGGTTTAGGGTTTAGGGTGACCGTAGCTACCTTGCAGGTCTCTACCCAACTGGAAGCCTCCTTTTCCATCGCCCAGGGCCTTGCGGAGTCTTGACAGGTTCTGTCAACTCTATTCTAACTCAACCCTAAACCCTAAACCCTAAACCCTGAACCCTAAACCCTCAACCCTAAACCCTAAACCCTAAAGCCTAAGCCCTGAACCCTCAAGCCGACCACCTAAAAAAAAACCTGGAACCCTGAAACGCGCAATCCTCTGTGGCCCGATGAAAACCCTACAAAGCCTGCATGGACCTAAGCCCCTGCATTCCATGGCAAGACCACAAGGGTTTAGGGTTTAGGGTTTAGGGTTTAGGGTTTTAGGCCCCTTAAACTCCCCCTCTTAACCTTAAACCCCGCCTAGACCCCCTAAGCCCTAAACCCTCAACCCTAAACCCTAGACCCTAAACCCTGAACCCTACATGCACCCCCCTTCAACAACAAACGCTACAACCGAGTAGCAGAGGAGAAGCCAAGGCCACAAAGGATCTTCCTCACGCGCGCCTGCGCCACAACGAAGTTGTGGGGTTTAGGGTTTAGGGTTTAGGGTTCAGGGTTCAGGGTTCAGGGTTTAGGGTTTAGGGTTTAGGGTTTAGGGTTTAGGGAACTATGCTCCCTTTTTGGCGGCTCCCCAACCACAAGTCTCCCCCATGCTGGACTGGAACCACCCGAATTTAGAGACACCCCCCCCCCCCCCCCCAGCTGACGGATAAGGCCTTCCCGTTTTCAGGGTTTAGGCTTTAGGGCTTAGGGCTTTGAGTTTACCCTAACAAAACAGTCCAAAAGCCTTGTACAAGAAGGCCTTTGGCCCAAAAACCCTACAATAAGAGGCCTTAGAGCCTTGGGTCATATAGGGGCTTAGGGTTTAGGGTTTAGGGTTTAGGGTATAGGGTATAGGGTATAGGGTTTAGGGTTTAGGGTTTAGGGTTTAGAGTGCCCATCCCGGTGCAAACTTCGGCCTCGGCTGCCTCCGCACCGGTGGCCTAGGTCATGGTCGCTTGGTTGCCGTGGATGACAGGGTTTAGGGTTTAGGGTTTAGGGTTTAGGGTTTAGGGTTTAGGGTTTAGGGTTTAGGGTTTAGGGTTTAGGGTCTGCTCTGTATGTGCTGGGTCCTTGCAATTATGCGGCCTCTTACAGAGGATACTAAAGTGGCCGTCATCGATCCAAAGCGTCCTCAGACTCTTGCCCCTTTCGGGTTCAGGGTTTAGGGTTCAGGATTTAGGGTTTAGGGTTTTGGGTGTAGAATATCCTCGAGGATGGCCCAAAAACCCTTCTGAACAATATTCCCTAAGCATAATCCTCTTAAACCCAGTAAGGGGGAATGCGGATTAGGGTTTAGGGTTTAGGGTTTAGGGCCTACCTAGTGCCCTGGATGTCTACATCAGTGGATTCCAGACTGAAACCCTAAACCCTAAACCCTAAATGCTGAAACATTAGTCCTATACGCCACACAGCCTGCAACCCCTGAAGCTTAAGCCCAGAACCCTCTAGGTTAAGGGGCTATCGAAGCAGATCGCTCGAAACCTTCGACTTCATTAGCGTGTATACGGGTTTAGGGTTTAGGGTTTAGGGCATAGAATGTCAAGCACAGACCGAGATAGCGTGACAGCTGATTAAACACGCATCGCATCTGCGAGTCTTCTCAGGGTGAAACTGCACGGAAAAAACCACACAAACCTGGCACCGCCCCAAAATCAGGGTTTAGGGTTTAGGGTTTAGGTTTTAGGGTGCAGCACCATGCAACACCCTTGAATACAAGCCTGGTACGCGCACGCACCACCGCCACCCGGCTGCCTTGCCACGAGAATGCAGCCCGTAAAGAAGCCGCGTTCCGCGACTTAGTGCGGAGACTGACTCGGCACTGTTGGGCAGAGATCCCCCCTAAGGCCCTGGGGTTCAAGATTGTCCCAGACACACCGAAGCTAGATACCCTTTTTGGGATTCAAAAGGGCTTATAAGAGCACCTAAGCTCTAAAAAAAGGGGAAGCAGGGCCTGATCTGTGTCCTAGAAAGAGGACCCTGTGACGTTTGGCCACGGTGAACAGCGAGGAGTTTGCGTGGGGCTTCACGTTCCGCTGCAGCACACCAACACACCAACACACCTCTCCAGAAGGCACGCGTGCGCCCTCGCATTGAAATTCTGCAAAGCATCATAAAGCGGCGGAGCGTGAAGCTTGTGCACGAGCTGAGCCAATCACCATGTGCTTGGTGACCCTATAAAAACCCTACACCCTAAACCCAGCAAGGAGTCGACACAGACCTCACTGGGCAAAGAATTCCGAGGGCATCTAAGGTCTTCCGCACATAGCAGAAAATGGGCTGAACCTCATGACTCAACACACATGCGGGTTTCCGAAATTAGGGTTTAGGGGCTTGAGGTGTAGGGTCTAGGGGTACCTTGCTGGGGTCGAATCCTACTAGCCACAGGGATCTATATTTATGAGGGGTCCCGTACTCTCGAAAATCCCGAATGCCCCTGTGACAAGATGGCAGACACCCCACCCACAATTGTCAAACAAGTCACACTCGACTTTCCACCTCAGAATATGTGGTTTAAGGCCGCAACATTACTTCAAGGAATAGAGAAGTCGCTAGTTCAGCCGTCAGCTAATAAAAGAAGGCAGGAGAGCCCTACTCATGGCTCGCAAAAAGTCTCCCAGCCAAGTGTTCACAAGTGTGTTACTCGGCTGGAAGAACACCGAAGGGCTGCCAGCACCTGACATCACCTGACATCGCCTACTTACTCAGGCTGTGCCGCGCGTAGATGAGGACGCTGGTTTCGCAGCGTCCACACCCTGCTCCAGATGAGAGGTACTTTCTGCCGCATCCGACATGTGAGATCTGAGCCTCGGACTCACAGCCAGAATGAGGTTGTCTCCTGATTCACATCTCCATCCGTTTGGTTCGTGTTAGTCCGGCTCGCCAATGTTGAACACGGCAACGATTGGTTCGTGTTAGTCCGGCTCGCCAAGCTTGAGCACGGCAGCGATTGGTTCGTGTTCGTCCGGCTCGCCAAACTTGAGCATGGCAATGAGGTCTGCACCTCCCATGCCTCAACTTCGTCTTGGTCTGAAGGCCAACGTACTGCCATGCCTCTGCCTGCTTGCGCATGACTACCCGAAGCCTCGTCTGGGTAGCCTCCCTTAGTGGACGCCATTGGGCAAGGCCTTGGGTACCTAAGTAGCCCAGTAACCATATTATAATACGGGCACCCTTTTCTTGGTTGGCTACTCTATAAGGGATTCCAGAACCAAAAAATGGGAAAAGGGGCTACCAAGGCCCTAAACCCTAAACCCTAAACCCTAAACCCTAAACCCTAAACCCTAAACCCTAAACCCTAAACCCTAAACCCTAAACCCTAAACCCTAAACCCTAAACCCTAAACCCTAAACCATACCAAGGTACAGGTTTAAAACTGCTTGAATGTCGTAAGGCGGCTCCGTAAATGCCATTGGCAGTCCAGCCTGTGCACATCTGGGAGCCTGTGCACAGCTGGGAGCCAGGTCTGTCAGATCAAGCCGATCTGTCCTTCCGAGGTGTAGGGTTTAGGGTTTAGGGTTTAGGGTTTGGGGTTTAGGGTTTAGGGTCTAGGGTTTAGGGTTTAGGGTTTAGGGTTCAAGGTTTAGGGTTTGGGGTTTGGGGTTTAGGGTTTTGCATGCTGCTGCCTTTCACTGCGCGAGTAAGTGATCCTCACTTCCCGTTTGAGATCTGCTTCCGGAAGAGGAACCGGCCGCAGCTCCACATCTCCTTAGTCTTAGTTGCTGAGTTCATGGGTTTAGGGTTTAGGGTTTAGGGTAAGCCCCCCAAAAAGTGTACACTTTCAGTTCTATAGGGGATTAGAGTATCCCAAAAAGTGTAAAGTGTACTCACTCCACATCTCCTTAGTTGTCCAGTACCTAGGGGAACTAAAGGTTAACCTTTCGAACTATAAGGGGAATGATATTACCCCAAAAAGGTTAAAGGATACAACCTCTACTACGAAGTCTCCATGAGCAAATTTGCACCGCCGGCCAAAGCGGCAGCCACCCGCGCTGAACTGGGCGCAAAGTCGGGTGCTGACCAAGTTCGGCTGGGGGCGCAGCTCCTCTTTCCTAGTTCATGGTTGGGGTAGTATTAAAAATCTAAATTTCTATGTATTCCTTGTTGAGTTTAGGTACCCTTAAAAAGTGTAAAATGTTACCCCGCTACGACAAAGTTTCGAGTGGGCAAAGTTGCACGCCTGCCCTCGGCGACAGTGTCCAGTCCCAACGAACTTGCACATCCGCGTGTTCTTCAGTGACTGCACCACTGGCGCCGGCGTGTACTCACTCGACATGGCGTCTAAACCCTAAACCCTAAACCCTAAACCCTAAACCCTAAACCCTAAACCCTAAACCCTAAACCCTAAACGAAAAGTCATCCGCAAATCCAAAGACACCCTGTGCCCTGAGCCAGATGGTTTTAGGGAAGGTTCCGTCGACCATTGCCCCGTTGCAGAAACGCGTTTCTGAGTGCGGGCACATCAGATAGGGCCCGTATATATATATATATATGTATGAATGTATGTATATATATATATATGTATACATGCCGTCTTCTTTATTTATTCAGTGATTCATTTAGTCATGTCATGATAAATGTCCAATAAATGCATTCCAAAAACGTCTCCTTCCACAGAAATCCTCAAGTGCGCAGCATGTCTTGAAATTGAATTTGAGGTGTGCAACGGTCCTGGAAAGGTATTGGTGAATGAATGACCTAAAAAAACCCTAAACCCCAAACCCCAAACCCCAAACCCTAAACCCTGAGCCCTAAACCCTAAACCCCAAACCCTACTCTGACTCGCAGGGTCCCTTGGCACCACTAGGTGCCTCCAACTCGTCGCCCACGGCGCTGAGCTCGTCGCAGAGCTGCTGCAGCTCCGCTGCCTGGATGCGTCCAGCGAGGTACTCATGGGTTCCCCTACTACCCCCGGCTTAGGGTTCAGGGTTCAGGGTTCAGGGTTCAGGGTTCAGGGTTTAGGGTTTAGGGTTCAGGGTTCAGGGTTTAGGGTTTAATAGGGTTTATTTGGTTTAGGGCTGCTACCCCCCTCTATGCTACCCCTCCCTAGGTTTCCCCCCGTAAGTAAGGCCAATTAGGGTTAGTTTAGCCTAGTCAAGGTCATTTCAGGCCGGAACCTGGGGGGGGGACGTTCCCCCTTATACTAAAAGTCCGTATATGGGGAAGTATTAGTCGGGGGAACTATCATCCCTATGCATGACTGTTAGTATACGGGGGGACATCCTAATCTAGGCTGTTCCCTCATGCATCTCATGCGAGCAAACTGCTTGTCATCTAGTGACGGTGTCGTCGACATGTGCGCAGCCTCCTGTCCCAACCCTCAACATTTTTGGGTTTTGGGGTTTGGGGTTTAGGGTGTAGGGTTTCTAAAATCCAAGGGTTTAGGGTTTAGGGTTTCGAAGATCCAACACTCCAACACTCCTTCAAACCCTGAATCCCGAAATCCCTAAACCCTCAAGCCCGATGTCTGTTTATATAAGGGACCATGTGGTCAGTTGCTTCATGGCTTAGAGGGTACAGGGCTCATAGTGTAGGGTTTAGGCTACAGGGCGAACCATTCCCCCAGAGTTGCTGCATGCCTTACGGTGCCTTTCTGAAGGGGGGGGGGGGGGGGGGGGAGACTGCCCGACCTCTGAATAACCCTGCCGTGGATAAGTGCTTCTGAGGGGATTCGGTGGCATTACATATACATAATCATATAAACACCCTAAACACCACTCAAAATTTAACTCTCCCAACCCTGGACACAAAACTCCCCGAAGCTCTTCACGTGGCCCCCCCAACACTTCGACAGCACACGCTGGAAACTGCGCTCTAGGGTTTTAGGATCCAGGGTCTAGGGGGGGCTTAAGGCTGGCCACACTTTGTGGTTGGAGGCTTGGATTTAAACCCTATGCCCTACAACCTAAACCCTAAACCCTAAACCCTAAACCCTAAACCCTAAACCCTAAACCCTAAACTCTAAACCCTAAATTACTAAAGCCTCCATGGTTAGGGAACATAGAGCCAATCCTATGGACTCCGGGTTCTTCAGCCGAATAGGTCCAGTTTACAGGCTTTAGGGCTTTGGGAAGGAATCGGGCTGCCGGCCAGGACTTTCGGGTTTAGGGTTTAGGGTTT